TTTCATGGATATAATAAATGACAATTTTACTAAGTTGATCTTTTTCCTCCTGTAGAAGAGAAAGAGTAATTGAAAAGCATCACCTTAATGTTTTTATTACATACATATATGATCTAAAGCGGTCAGCAATGAATATATTAAAGAAAGGAACTCTGTTGTTACTATATACTTCACATTATAAAGAAGGGGAGAAGGACCTGGGGTCTGGAGCCAGATGACCTGTCCTCAAAACCCAGCTCCACCACTATATGATGAGTGAATTTGGGCAAGTGGCTTAACTTGTTTCTTATTTTTTCAACTATAAAATGGGGATGAAGTAGTATTTACTATAGAGTTAATGTGAGACTAGAAGTCACATAGGTCAAGTATAAGAACTAGGTTGGCATTGAGTCATTCCATAAAATTAACTATTAGTATTATTATTACAAATAGAACCCCCATCTGCTAACAATAATCAACAGAGAGTAGTGAAGATTAAATAAAAGTAGACTATATCCCACTATAACAGAACAGAAGCAAATTCTACAGGACACCTGGAAAGATATAATTGCTATACTTAAACACTATGTTCTAGAAAAGCTAGGACTGGTTCTCATCACTACATTCAGTGACACAACTAAAAGATTCAAATATTGTTGGAATAACAAAAAGACCAAACAAATAAGTCTTTTGTTTGGGGACAACAAAAGATGAGGGGGACAACTGGGATGAGGACACTCCCATCTCAGTCACAGCTTCTATAGATAATCATTGATCTAAAAGCATAATCTCAGAAACTGTGAACTTCATATTCTAAAGAACTGCTACATAAAATATTTCAATTTCTTCTCATTACAGTCCTATAAACAAAATGGAGCAAGCCCTACCATCACCAGTTTCCAGATAAAAAAACTGAGTTTTCTGTGTGCGATTTATCCATATCAATTGGTCCTCTCTTTTTCTTTTTTTGGTAACATATCAAACATGGCTTTGCTAAGGTCAGATGTCACTCAACATGCTTCAAACTATCCTTTGTTATTTATTATCATGATTATTTTTATCTTTATAAAAGTAATGCAAGACCATTGCAGAACATTTTGGAAACATAAAAAAATGAAAAGTTGTCACACAAAGAAAACAGTTAACCAGGGTAGTGAATTTCTTTTCAGTCTTTGTTTTTGCACATTTTTAAATAGTTATGTTCATGCTTTTTATACAGTTGCATAGCCTGTTTTTACAATTTAATGTTATACAAAAGTATTTTCATGTTATTGCTTTTAAAAAATCTGGACCCTAAAATGCAGTTAAAACTGTTTAGGTAACTTCCTATGGCTAGTAAAATTTCATAACCTTTTCCCTTTGATCCCTAAGTTCCCATCCAGCTTTAACTCCCAAGGAAAAAATATGAATATTCTATAAATTGCTTCTTCATAGTAATATTAGTAATTGATCATTAGAAAGCTATTAATTGCAATGTAGTAATTGAATTTTATTTTCTACTATATTACTCCACTGGGTAATCCTATTAGAACCAATAATTACTTTCCAGGAAACTTAGAAAGATAGGTAGGGAAATAGTATCTTCCAGCTATTATGTTGAACCAGCCTTACGTCGCCGTGGTACCAAAACGTGGCAGAGACACAACAAAAACAGAAAATTTCAGGCCAATACCCCTGATGAACATCAATGCGAAAATCCTCAAGAAAATTCTGGCAAACTGAATCCAGCAGCATATCAAAGAGCTTATCCACCACAATCAAGTTGGCTTCATCCCTGGGATGCAAGGCTAGTCAACATATACAAATCAATAAACGTAATCCATCACATAAACAGAACCAGTGACAAAAACCACATGATTATCTCAATAGACAATAGATGCAGAAAAGGCCTGCAATAAAATTCAAGACCCCTTCATGCTAGAAACTCTCAATAAACTAGTTATTGATGGGCTGTATCTCAAAATAATAGGAGCTCTTTATGACAAACTCACAGCCAATATCATACTGAATAGACAAAAGCTGGAAGCATTCCCTTTCAAAACTGGCACAAGACAAGGATGCTCTCTCTCACCACTCCCATTCAACATAGTATTAGTAGTTCTGGCCAAAGCAATCAGGCAACAGAAAAAAGTAAAGAGTATTCAAATAGGAAGAGAAGTCAAATTGTCTCTGCTTGCAGATGACATGATTGTATCTTTAGAAAACCCCATCATCTCAGCCCAAAATCTCCTTAAGCTGATAAGCAACTTCAGCAAAGTCTCAGGATACAAAATCAATGTGCAAAAATCATAAGCATTCCTATACACCAATAATAGACAAACAGAGAGCCAAATCATCAGTGAACTCCCACTCGCAATTGCTACAGAGAATAAAATACCTAGGAATACAACTTACAAGGGATGTGAAGGACCTCTTCAAGGAGAGCTACAAATCAGTGCTCAAGGAAATAAGAGAGAACACAAACAAATTGAAAAACATTCCATGCTCATGGATAGGAAAAATCAGTATCATGAAAATAGCCATACTATCCAAAGTATTTTATAGATTCAGTGCTATCCCCATCAAGCTACTACTGACTTTCTCACAGAATTAGAAAAAAATACTTTAAATTTCATATAGAATCAAAAAACGGCCCATATAGCCAAGACAATTCTAAACAAAAAGAACAAAGCTGGAGACATCATGCTACCTGACTTCAAACTGTACTATAAGGCTACAGTAACCAGAACAGCATGGTACTGGTACCAAAACAAAGATATAGACCAACGGAACAGAACAGAGGCCTCGGAAGTAATGCCACATACCTACAACCATCTGATCTTTGACAAGCCTGACAAAAACAAGCAATGGGGAAAGAATTCCTTATTGAATAAATGATGTTGGGAAAACTGACTAGCCATATGCAGAAAACTGAAACTGGATCTCTTCCTTACACCGTATACAAAAATTAACTCAAGATGGATTAAAGACTTTAACATAAGACCTAAAATCATAAAAACCCTAGAAGAAAACCTAGGCAGTACCATTCAGGACAAAGGCATGGGCAAAGACTTCATGTCTAAAACACTAAAAGCAATGGCAACAAAAGCCAAAATTGACAAATGGGATCTAACTAAACTAAAGAACTTCTGCACAGCAAAAGAAACTATTGTCAGAGTGAACAGGCAACCTACAGAATGGGAGAAAATTTTTGCAATGTATGTATCTGACAAAGGGCTAATATTCAGAATCTACCAGAAACTTAAACAAATTTACAAGAAAAAAAATAACCCCATCAAAACGTGGGCAATGGATATAAACAGATACTTGTCAAAAGAAGACACTTCTTTGTGGTCAACAAACATATGAAAAAAAAGCTCTTCATCACTGGTCATTAGAGAAATGTAAATCAAAACCACAATGAGATACCATTTCACACCAGTTAGAATGGCAATCATTTAAAAGTCAGGAAACAACAGATGCTGGAGAGGATGTGAAGAAATAGGAATGTTTTTTTTCTTTTTTTCAGATGGAGTCTCACTCTGTCACCAGGCTGGAATGCAGTGGCGTGATCTCAGTCCACTGCAAACTCTGCCTCCCAAGTTCAAGCAATTCTCCTGGCTCAGTTTCCCATGGTGGCTGGTGCCACCAAGCCCAACTAATTTTTGTATTTTTAGTAGAGATGGGGTTTCACCATATTGGCCAGGATGGTCTCAGTCTCTTGACCATGTGGTCTGTCTACCTCTGCCTCCCAAAGTACTGGGATTACAGGTATGAGCCCCCATGCCTGGCCATGAACACTTTTACACTGTTAGTAAGAGTGTAAATTAGTTCAACCATTGTGGAAGACAATGTGGTGATTCCTCAAGGATCTAGAACCAGAAATACCATTTGACCCAGCAATCCCATTACTGGGTATATATCCAGAGGATTACAAATCGTTCTGTTATAAAGACACATGCACACTTTTATTTATTGCATTACTATTCACAACAGCAAAGACTTGGTACCAACCCAAATGCCCATCAATGATAGACTGGATAAAGAAAAGGTGGCATATATATACCATGGAATACTATGCAGCCATAAAAAGGATGAGTTCATGTCCTTTGCAGGGACATGGATGAAGCTGGAAACCATCATTCTCAGCAAACTAACACAGGAACAGAAAATCAGACACTGCATGTTTTCACTCAGAAGTGGGAGTTGAACAATGAGCACACATGGACACAGGGAGGGGAACATCACACAGCGGGGCCTGTTGGGGTGGGTGGCTAGGGAGGGGATAGCATTAGGAGAAATGCCTGATGTAGATGATGGGTTGATTGATGCAGCAAACCACCATGGCACTAGTATACCTGTGTAACAAACCTGCACATTCTGCACATAAAGTATAATAAAGAAAAAGAGAATCCTAACATAGAACCTAAACAAGGCCAAGTTCAAAACTCCAAAACTAGTCACAACTAAACTAAGAGACCAAATCAGTTAGGGGAACCATTTGGGGCCAGTAAAATAACTGGTGTTTCCCCCATTTCTTTTTAGATTAAGGAAATTTAGACACTATTCTTCCTAACTAATGAAGCCACTGCTATCGCATAAAGACGCCAGAAAGAACCTAATGAAGAGTTCAAAAGCAAACTGAGCAGAAGTTTGTACCGGAGTATGGAGCAATACTGTGCTCACTAGAGTCTATGCAGGTTGGTGGATTCTGTCTCTCAGCTGGAGGCTCTTTAAGAGAAATGGTCCTGTCTCCACTTCTGATGCAAGTTCTCCTCCACTTTCTTCACTCATGGATGTACGCACAGGCATGCACACACACACACACACACACACACACACACACACACACACACAGCCCTTACAATTTACACAGGGGAAAGAGGTAACTTGACCTAGGTTAATCAGTAAGGTACTATTCCACTAAAATTGCAATCACAGAGTAAAAAACCAAATCCAATAGATTTTTAAAAGACTGGACAACAAAAGCTATGCATAGCAGACTATCTACAGATGAAAAGCCTAGAGGCTCACAAGCTTACCAAGAATAACCCTGCTTGGGGAAAGGTCCCAGCCTCCAGAAGGTGTTGTAGCTAAATGAGACCAGCTCTCCAGGAAATCTGGTGGCAATGTGGTGAGTCTGTTGCTTGATAAATCCAAGTAGGCAAGGTTCTTCAGATACCTGAGTGCGTCATTTGGCACACTGCTTATTCTATTATTGTGCAAATCCAGGGTCCTCAGAAGCGGCATGTCCAGCAGAGATGCCCAAGGAAAAGCAGCCAGAGAATTTCCATCCAAGCGCAACTCATGCAGCTGCTTCAGGTTGTAAAAGCTGCTGGGGTCAATGCTGGCCACGGAATTGTAAGTCACCCAGAGGTACTGAAGCTCTACTAGGTAATAGAAGGCCTCTGCAGAGATTCTGCGGATGACAGTCTTCTCTATGCGAAGCTTCACGGTATCCACGGGGAGGTTTGTAGGGAGCTCATTCATATCCATGTCGTTACATAGCACCAACCTAGTGTCACAAAAAGAGCAATATGAGGAAACTCACTCTCCAACATCCATTTGAAAAAAATATTTCTCATTTGAAAAATATCAATTTTCAGCCAGGCGGTGGCTCATGCTTGTAATCCCAGCACTTTGGGTGGCCAAGATGGGCAGATCACTTGCAATCAGGAGTGGAGACCATCCTGGCCAATGTGGTGAAACCCCATCTCCACTAAAAATACAAAAATTAGCTGGTCGTGGTGGCAGGCACCTTTAGTCCCAACTACGCAAGAGGCTGAGGCAGGAGAACAGCTTGAACCCAGGAGGTGGAAGTTGCGGTAAGCCAAGATCACACCACTGCACTCCAGGGTGACAAAGTAAGACTCCATCTCAATATATATAAAATTTTATTACCTCTTAGTGTTCAAAAAATATTTATTCTGGTTAACCTGTTCTCTAATATTGCATCATCTTCTTCCTCATCATGACAGCAGCTACTTTTGGGTTGAACCATATGAAATAGACAAGATAGTAAAAAATAATCAAATATCAGCAATTTCATGTGGTCCAACCTAATGTTTATGAAGATCTTTACATGCAAGCCCTGCTCAACAAGGTCACATCCATGACTTTATTTAATCATCACAACAATCCCAGGAGGCAGATATTGGGTAACAGGTAAAAGTGCCTGCTTTAGACTCACACTGATCTTGAATCAAAACAATCCAGGGTGTAAAGTCTGCCACCTCTTCTGTGGCCATGTAAAGCCACTTCACCAGTGTCTCCACCTCATTTTCCCATCTGGCACTGTTATGATGATTAGTTACAATGGATGTAAAACTTTACAACTTCCTGGCACGTAATATATACTCAGTAGGCGTTTGCTGTTACTGTCAATAACCTCGGTTTTACATGGAAAGTAACGGGGGCCCACCAACATTCAGTAACTTCCCAAGGTCACCCAACTAGTGGGTTTTGTAGCCACCTTTCAAAACCACTTCTGTCCATCTTCAAAGTGCACCTGTTTAGGAAATGGCCCATTTTAAAAGAATCGCCTGTTAAAATCATAAATCAATACTTTTTAAGAGGATACTTCATTTAGGTGAAAGAAAAAACAAGTGTTCACAGTACACGTTTAAAGTTGAGCTCTGTTTTAACAATGTGACTTGCACATTGCTTTCTGTCTAAGGAATAAACCAGAAACTAGGAGTTGACCTTGAGCGAGTCACATTTTGATCTTGTTTGTTGGCACATATAAAACAGCCATAGAAAAACAACATTGTACCAGCTGGGCAAGGTGACTGTAATTCCAGCACTTTGGGAGGCCAAAGCGGGTAGATCACTTGAGGTCAGGAGCTCCAGACCAGCCTGGCCAACATGGTGAACCCTCATCTCCACTAAAAATACAAAAATTAAGCAGGTGTGGTGGTGGATGCCTGTAATCCCAGCTACTCCAGAGGTTGAGGTGGGAGAATCGCTTGAACCCAGGAGGCAGAGTTTGCAGTGAATCAAGATTGCACCACTGCACTCGAGCCTGGGTGACAGAGTGAGACTCCATCTCAAAATAGAAAAAAGAAAGAAAGAAAGAGAAAAGAAAAACAACACTGTCCCATGTGTAAATTTAAAGTATGAGGAATCTGAGAATTTAGATTCATTTTAGCCTGGAAAAGACCGATTTGTCTCCTATGATACACTCATCTGAATTACTAAAAATGAACAATAAGAAGTTCTGCAAAATATCATACAAATTATAGCACACTATAAATTCAATACATAATTGCAATAAAAAGGGTGAAAAATATTTCACCCTTTAGTGAAAATCACATTAAATCGGTGGACCTAAAAAGCTGCTCATAATGTATATAAATGTAAGCAGCATAAAGCTGCAGTGTGTTATCTCCTTTCTATAACTTCAAGAGAAGACCTCATGGAATCTTTGAAATTCTCTAGGGATATCTCTTACTTTGCATCTCTATTTTGCATCACAGATTTCAGTACTACTTTATACCAGTTTCTACTCATTAAGAAAGTATTTCAGCATTCTATCATAGAAGAAAGCCTAGTGTGTACACAAAAAGATCTAGCGTCTTTACCACCTTAGCTACTACATCAACACAATTATATCACCTAGGACAAGTCACTTGGTCTCCGTACAGTTTAGTCTCTTCATGTATAAACTGACAATGGGTTGAACTAGATTATTTCTTACTAGGGCTAATATTCTATAATTTTTATAAAAATCCATCAATAATGGGGTCACCACAGACAAGGAAACGTTCCTGTGATTGTTTCTCAAAAGTAGCCTGGCCTGATCTTCACTGCTGAACATCCCTGGACAAGTAGATCTTTAATTTGCTACATTCTCTTTATCGTCTTTAACCACCCAGTGAATATCTCAAAAAATACCAAGAATTGGTTAAGTAAAGTTTATATAATAACAAGATAAGCTTTTAACAAATATGGCTTAGTTATTATTATTTATTTGTTTAAAGTTGTAAGACATAAATTGGGCAATTCTTTTCACAAATTATTTTGTCTGAGACTCACCATTTACTTCAACCAAGTCACAAATAGTCTGATTTTGTTATTAGATGCCCTCTCAAAAAAAAAAAATTCAAGTTCTACCGTGTTTAGCTAGCAAGAATTCTGTTTTGCATTTCACATATCTAAAAGGCCTCATGCACATTATAAGCAAATAACTATTCTCACTACACAAGCAGATGCGAAAGCAACCCAGAGATTGAATAACTTCTGTGAGGATCCTTCAGTGTCTGCAACAAACAGTATTTTTTTTTTTCAATCTTCTTTACTTTGTAAATTCAATCAGCTTAAAATGAAATATTCGATTAACCTCTCTGAGTTTACGCTTGAGATCTTCCTTCCTGCCAAATAATCCTCAAAGGAAGTAGAGAGCCCCGAAAGCAAAGGATCTGGGCATGTCCCACAGCTCCTGTTCAGCCCTGCTCTCTTAGGCTTTCTATAATCAAGGGCTGAGCTGGCCATGTATCTTTAAATGGTTTGACCTCAAGCAACATTTTGCGAACATGAGCATAAAAAAAACTGGGGAACACGGAATGTGTTTAGAAATTTCCAGTAACTTGAGAGGCCTTTAAGAGTCAAACTGCTCGAAATGAAAACAGTGAAGGAGTAGGTGACCAGTATTAATACAATTAAGTTAAATTTTATGGACATTAAACCTTCTCTTCTGTGATTTCTGATCCTCAAACATTTGCTTTCAAAAGTAGGCTCTCTTGTTTTAGTCCTTTTTGTCAAAATAGTGAGAACATTTAGTAGCAAGCAGAGGAGCATACCTTAATCCCAAGCCGTCATTTCTGCCGTGATAATCACAGGTGCACTGTGAAGGACACGAACAGCCCACTCCTTCCAAAATGCTAAGGACAATGCACAGACATGCAAAGAGATGCATCGCTCCTTTCAGAGGCTATTTAAACAAAAGGTAACCAAGTCCTAAGCATTCAGAAACTGGTGTGCCCTGAATGCAAACAGCCATTTAGTAATAGCAGATTACACAGGATTAGCTGAGATCTGTAGTTACTTAACCTTCAAGTGTATCTTGCAGGAGATCAATTGACCCAGCCTTTGAATACAGTTTCAGCAAAGTAACACATTCTAAGGAAAATGAAAATCAAACACCTGACAAGCAATTTCAATAGTTATCCATAGCTTGATTTGCAAGGAAATGCCTATTAAATCCCTTTCCTCTGGATGTACTTACCACTGCACCTTAAAAGTATACTTAACATTAAAAATAATTTGATCTTGGCAGATGCTAGAAAATTCTGTAGATTATTTACATGTTACAACATTATAAAACATTTTACATTTAGTTTTTGCCAGCATGCATAACTAATTCAGTTTTACAAAATTTAGGTTTTTTTTGTTTGTTTGTTTTTTGGTTTTTTTTTTTTTTTGAGACGGAGTTTCGCTCTTGTTACCCAGGCTGGAGTGCAATGGCGCGATCTCGGCTCACCGCAACCTCCACCTCCTGGGTTCAGGCAATTCTCCTGCCTCAGCCTCCTGAGTAGCTGGGATTACAGGCACGCGCCACCATGCCCAGCTAATTTTTTGTATTTTTAGTAGAGACGGGGTTTCACCATGTTGACCAGGATGGTCTCGATCTCTTGACCTCGTGATCCACCCACCTCAGCCTCCCAAAGTGCTGGGATTACAGGCTTGAGCCACCGCGCCCGGCTCTACAAAATTTAGTTTTAAAAATAGAGGCACATGACAAAAGAATGATTTAGAAAAGAGGTATTGATGTTGCCACATACTGGTTATCTCTAAAAATAAAGTAAAACAAGTCCATTACGTAGATTTTATGGGGAAAATGCTTCAACCAACCACTCAGGTGGCAGGACTAAGTTCTCCAGTGAGAAAGTGTTCTAAGACTCTTCCAGATCATCTCAGTGTGTGGAAGGTTTATCCCAGCACATTTATTTTTAATGCAGGCATCTATCGCTATTCAATAGTTTCCCAAGTTATCTGCACCAAAGCCATATTTGAAGATCAACTCTAATTCTTTTAGCTATATTAGGCTCTATCAGAAAATATGAATTATATGTAATTAAATTATAAAACTATCTCCACACACATAAAATGGAGAATTCACGAAGTCACTCAAGGATTTAAGAAATAAATATATGTCATTTAACCTTCTTAGTGGCCACTTCTAAGCATCCTCTTTAAACTACAAACTTTTTAAAAAGAAAAGTAAATCTATAAAAATAAGCATATTACAGGAAATGTTGAACACTAATAGAATTCATATAAGAACCATAGTCTGGGCCGGGCGTGGTGGCTCAAGCCTGTAATCCCAGCACTTTGGGAGGCCGAGGCGGGTGGATCACGAGGTCAAGAGATCGAGACCATCCTGGTCAACATGCTGAAACCCCGTCTCTACTAAAAATACAAAAAATTAGCTGGGCATGGTGGCACGTGCCTGTAATCCCAGCTACTCAGGAGGCTGAGGCAGGAGAATTGCCTGAACCCAGGAGGCGGAGGTTGTGGTGAGCCGAGATCGCGCCATTGCACTCCAGTTTGGGTAACAGGAGCGAAACTCCTCCTCAAAAAAAAAAAAAGAACCATAGTCTGACAAACTGTGCTCGATTAAAATAAAACACTGCAGGTTTCCAGATTCTGCACAACTCATTTGTTCATCAAATATTTACTGAGTACTTACTCTCTGCTGAGCACTGAGGGGTAAAAAGATGAACAAGACCGTTATTACACGTAAGGAACTCACACGATAAAGAGAGGCACAGAGTACTGAAGCAGCACAGGAAAAGAGCATCAAACCCAGCTGCTGTTAGTCAAGCAAGACTTCCTGAGGTGGGTGGTGCCTGGCTGCCATTTACAGGGTGCATGATGGTGCATTATGGAAAAATCCAAAGAGGGGCATTGCAAGCAAAGGGAATAGTGGAAACAAAGGGAGAGAAGAGAGAATGGGTGCATTGTCTTCAGAAAACTGCAAGCACTTCTCGTTCCTCAGGCGTAAGATTTTGAGGCAGGGAGTTAAAGAAGATAAAGCTGGAGAGGTAAGTGGGGATGATGTTTTCAAGGAAACCCTTTGATTGGATGGAGAGCTTACGCTCAGCCTGTAGGCAATGGGAGCAATAAAAGTTAGACTTGGGAGTGGCACATCAGCTTATCCTTTTAGGAAGAATTCTCTGTGTGGAGAAAACGTTTAGATAGAGTAAGCAGCAAGAAAGCAGGAGGCTTCGGGTGGATGTCTGTGGTTATAGTCCAGGAGAGCAGCCATCAGGCTACAGCCTTGACTGCTGTGCTGGAAATAGGATAATGCAGCTTCAGGAAACATGCAGGTGAGAGAAATGATTGATTAGGTGTAGGGATGAAGAAGGATTAAAAAACAACCCTCAGGTTTCCCAGTGCTGGAGATGCAGTGAGAGGTGATGGCCCTAACTGAGTTTTTGAGCACAAGAGGAAGGAGAAATAGGATGGGTAAAGCTCTGATCACCAAATGACCAAGAGATTTTTTGAATTATTAATTTCACGGATGTCACGACTTACACGGAGGCAAGACGTGTCGAATTGAGTATAGAAATGCTGTTTAAAGATTAAAAAAAAAAATCAGAAATTAGTAAACTAAGAGGTTAGAGGGAACTATGTAATCAAAGCCAGGTCTTCCTAGTTTTATCATATAAGCAAATTAATTGATAATATCGCATTGAAATATAAGTACTGTACACCGTTGAACTCCTTTACATTTGAGGCAAAGTTGTTTCTTACTTATCACTGGAAATGAGTTCACGGCCTTGCAAACTGGAACTCTTGAGTCCATTTTTCTAGACATTATTACAGATGTTGTCCTGGCCTTTTAATGGCTTTGGGACTCTGGGCACAGATTTCAGGGCTCTGGGCACAGATTTCACTATACTCTTCCTGTAAAAAGGTTCAGCTACAGTAGACAGGATGAGCAAAGAGCTAGCGACACAATGCATTCAGAACTCTCTGGGAACACTAAACATTCTATTTAGCCATGAAGAAAGACAAAAAGCTGAAACGTCCCTTTGGGGGTATGTTAAAGAGGGCCTTGAAAATCCAGCTGAGGGGTTTGTAAGACTTCGGGCATTGGAACTTTATTTTTAAAAGATTAGCTATGAAGTTGTATTGATTTGCAGTTGTATGTATTGATTGCTGTGGGAAAGCCAGAAAGGGAGGAGATAAGGTAGAGATTACTATAGCAGTTTACCTCTCCATATGCATAGAGGACTGTACACATAAAATTAATGCCTAGATTGTACTTAATATGCTAAAGAGACAATTTACGGGAAGACAAAATAGAGATTAAAAAATACAATATGCAAAGACACAGCCTCACTAGCAATGTGAAATAAAATGAATTTGAGTTTGAGTATATAACTCATAATTTAAATATATACAGCACTATTAGCAGGAATATGCAGTGAAAAGCTCACTTAGATACTGCCAGTATCAGAGTAAACTAATTCTATCTTTCCAGAAAGCAAACTAGCAACAATAATAGTGTTTTTGTATTTGTATCCAGTATTTCTAGTCTGAAAAAAACCACTCAAATAGAATAACTTCTCCCAAAGAAAAAATGTATTTATACTAAAATGTTCTCAGTGATACATCCACGAAACTAAAAATTGGAAAGCAATTTAATTGTCTGCTATATAAACAATGGTATATTGTACTATGCTTAACAGTCATTTAAAATGACAAATACGTGAGTCTCCAAATTCATTTAACATTGAAAAAATATTTACTGACTGCCTACTACGTACCAGACAGCATTGGGTACATGTGATAAGGATCCATCAAAGAGCAAACATAAAAATCTCCACTCCGATTGATGTTAACTCTGGTAGCAAATATATGGAGTAGATATGCAGAAAATGATAATAAAAATTTCAGAAAACATAAAAATATGCACAGAGGTTATAATGCTATATTATATATATATATATGAATTGACTTAACATTTTATTTAGAAACCTTTGTGTTTAATGTTCATTTGATTATTTTTGTTTAATAACATAAGTTAATAATTGATTTAAATATTAAAATGTTGCAATGTAAAAATGCTTTCTATTCTAACGGGGAACATCCAACATCATTTCATATTTACCTAGAATTATTAATTATTATTGGTATTATTAATTTATCCTGACATTAAATTAGTGACTGCTTCTATTCCAATGGAGGAGCCAGAGAAGTTAAAGGTCATCAGTGCAGTGTAATGCATGCCATAATAGGGAGAAAGAAAGGGGGCCTTAACCTCAGATCCTAATTCATCAAAGGAGATAAGCAACAAGTTGACATATCAGGACATAGAGAAGCATGCACGACAGCAGCCAAGGCACAAACAAAAGAAGCATGAGTGCACCTGAGGAACTTACAGTCTAACAGGACAATCAATGATCTATGTCTGCATTTGATCTAAATTGACTCATATTTAAAATAAAAGCATTGCCAAAAACTACAGTGTTTTGATAGTATGTCCTTTTCTTTCCTTTCAGATTCTTCCAGAAGCCAGTGGATTTTGAGATACATCCATTGGTAAAATACTTGTCACAGGCATTGTTTGGTGAGTCTGACATTTTAACATGGCAAGCATCGCCCTCCGAAACCTACAATAAAAAAAGAAAAATCTGGCATTAACTCATAATGATTTGAAACTTCTAAAGCATTTTAAAATATGGCTGATGCCACTACCGTTAATTTACATCTCTGGATAGATTGCTGCTTCCCACTTGAATATCTCCTGTTGAGAACCTTTATAAATACATAAAGTATATGGTACATTTAAAGACCACTTTTGTCTGTTGATTCTACAGATTTCCTATTGAGAACCTGTATACATATATAAGGTACAGTTAAAGGCCAGTTTTGCGCTGTTGATTCTATAGATTGAAGACATCTAATAAAGGTAAATATTTATATATATTTAAAAGGATGCTTCTAATATCAGACGCCATGAGTTGTTTATTTGAACTAACAATGTGTGTTTCATGCC